GCTGGGAGGGCAGCTGTGTTTGGGATCCTCCTTACTCTCTCTCTCAGTGCTCTGTTGGGGAGAGGAGCGAGGTTTCTCTCAGTGTGGGACCTGTCCCCCTGTGGGTGGCTCTGCCCAGGTGCCCTTGTCCCTTTCCGAGGGAGAGGCCTCACTGTCTCCAGGACTTAATAGAGGTTCTGTCTCTTCCCGTAGATCGGTCTGTGTTGGCGCACATATTCTGATGCACTAGGGTGAGTTCCTGCTTAGAGTTTTATGTCTTGGAGAATTGACTCCTTTATTAGTCCAAGTCCTCTCGTGCTTGGGTTTTCCTGCTCTCCATTCTGTTTCTGTTTTTTGTTTGTTTGTTTGTTTGTTTTGTAGTGCTGTGGATTGAACCCCAGGGTCTTCTCACTGAGCTACATCCCCAGCCCTTTTGATTTTTTAAAATTTTGACGCAGGGTCTCCCTAAATTGCTGAATTCCTCAGGCAGGGCTCGAATTTGCAATCCTCCTGCCTTAGCTTCCCAGAGTGCTGGGATTCTATGCATGGCCACCGTGCCAGGGTAAGTCCTCTTTCAGAAAGCAGGGGCTTGGTGAGAAGCTGTCTCTAAATAAATAAATAAAAATGGACAGATGGATGGACAACAGACAGACAGACAGACGGGCTGGGGATGTCGCCCAGTACAGCAGCCTGGGTTCGGTCTGTGGTGCCACTTCCTCCCTCCAGGCCTCACGCACCAGCAGGCGGTGCCTGCAACCCAGTCTCATTGTCTCCGATTCCGTTCTGGCTAAGAAGGTGCTGGGTTGGGTCCGTCAGCCTTGGACTTCTGTGGGGAGTGGGGCCGAGTGTGCCCACCCCTGCCCCCCTCTTCCTGGCATTCCCCTGGCAGCCTGGTACAGCGGGGAGGGGACCTGCGATTTCACGGTCAGGTTCTGACCTTGTAACCTGTAGGCCACCTCAAGGGGCCCCTATTCCAGCTCTGAGCCAGACTTCCCCTCTCTTCCTCCTTACACATGCTACAGTCGCGCGTGTCCGGTGTTCATTCTTTTATTGACTGATAACTTTTGGCTTTTGGTTTCTGTTTGCTTGGTGGTACTGGGGATTGGATCCAGGGCCTTCACACTGAGCTTCCC